GGATAGCAGACTACATTCTAGAGTATGGACAAGACTTGCAGTCGATCATGTCGTCTCTAGTCGAATCATCAACAGCATCGTTCGTCTAGTTATACGCAGGACGACCACATCGAGGCGAAGGCCAAGGCAGCCGAGAAGCCGTCTCTCCAGATCGCCCGAGCTGATGAAGATGCCGAGGTGGATGAGGCTGCAAGGCAGGAAGAACTCGAAAAACGAGCAAGACGTGCCCGAATGATGCGGTCTTTGAATCGCTTCATGTCTCCATATATAGTAGCTTGGGGTGGTTACAATATATGTACCTTTTAAAGTCTTTGTGCAATAATACCCTAAGTAGATTCGATCCTGAGGCTCCGATGTTCCCCCCGCGATCATGGAAAAGGCCAAGATCGCCCAGAAGAGCCACTTACTTGCACTTGTTGGCACCAGAATGTGACAACACAGAAACTATCTTTGATACGTGCTCACTTCAGATCGAAAATACGGCGAGCTTCTGCAGCTCTTCGCTGAGTGTGGAGAGAACTGGTCCGAGTGCCGGATAAGTTCTACATCTTCTACGGACGACACGAGAGCTGTGGTGGGGGGACAGACGTACAAACGATACAAAGACTTGGTATCTGAACACGGAAAGGAGAACGCAGATCGGCTTAGGGCCGAGAAGAAGGCCAAACAATCCGCCCTGGGTGACGCCTTCGAAAATGTGCCGTGGTGGTATGCCCACCCTGACTTTGCAGACCTGGAGGAGACCCGCCTGTATTGCTTAGCTAACTACTTCTAGGGGTTTGTTATAGACCTGATTTGAAACCACGCTGTGGCCAGGACTACGAATTGTTCCTGGTCTGGGATGCAGCCAAAGTGTGTACGACGGCAACACAGCGGACCTACAACGAAGTGAACCACAACATGCATGTTGGTGGAGATCTTGGGAGGGATCTCCGGTGTCTTGCCTTCCATTAAACCGGTACTAGTTCCTAGCCCAAGACACGTACATGTTAAATCTGTCCAAGTGTCTGATCATGAAGCAAGTTGCAGATCTTGCGGGTGTGCCTTCGAGACCGTGCTAAATCTAAATATATGTGTCGTATCCGAACCCTCTATACATTGTTGGCTTTGAGCAAACCCTATTCTTATATTCTACAGCTAATGGCTTGAGGTGTATGTCCGATGTGTTAG